GGCTTCCACACAACCTCTCGCCGGCGGCGGCCCTGCGGCACAACAACGCACCCTCCTCAACGCACCAGCGCGGGCTACCCATCTATCTGCTCCGGCACGCGTGCAGTTAGTCATGGCGACGACAAACTGCATGATGTCTTGTCGATGGCGGCCGCACGACACGCCGTCATCCTCACAGCCGGCACACCGGCTATCCGTCCAACATCCTCGTGACACTGCGTAGTCTCCCATGACAATGAACTCCGGCTGTCCGTCACGCCTAGAGATTGATCCTCTTTAGTGTCGAGGGCATGGCTGTGAAGATCAACGTGGGATGTATACGTACAACAATGATTTCAGTGGTAGCGCTTCGTACTGTGAATTTGATTGAATGATGTAAGAAATTGTAATTTGTCTACATGATCATATTTCGCTCCATTGCGATGGATGAAGCTTTATTCAAGTTCTAAGTTTCCTTTAGGCTGTAGTTTTTTTTAAGTTTTGTTGGATTTATGCCATGCTCTGAAAGACGAAGTGGCGGCTTTTTAGAAGTAGAATAAGGTCCTCTCCCCGCCTAGCCCCCCGTCCCGACGGAGCTTCTAGCATCGTTGGAGGGCCATCCTACGCAACCAGGTAAATGCCCTGTTTGGTTCGGCTATGGATTTCTAAAAGCAGCTATGAAAAATCTGCTGTGAAAAATCTGATGTGAAAAAGATATAGGTCATTTGGCAAACTAGCTGATACAGCTTTTTCAAATTTTGGCCCGCAGCGGAATCAGATTTTGAAAAGCATGTCCTAGGCTGCTTTCGCTTTTGGTTCAGATTTTGTCAGCGGATTTTTGAAATCGGATTTTGCTGGGTTTGTCCTTTGGTTTAGATTTTGCTGCGCGGCAGCGGAATCCGTCGATAAAAGCTGAACCAAACAGGGCCAAAGAAGTGCTCATTACGGGCGGTGGCATCGGTGCTGACCTGCCAGTGGCTGGGCGCCGTGTAGAGCACGCTCTTTGGCATGCCAGCCCTGTGGTCACCAAGGCAGTGGGGGTCTGGGCATGCACGGGTGTCTCCAACCTTGTCCAGTAGCTCAGGCATGCAATCTAGGTAGTGTGTGTAGTCACCAAATGATTCCAGGTGCATTAGATCAAACGTGTTGTGTCCAGGTTTCTCCTGGCAGTGAAGTGTTTGTGTGGTGCCAAGGAAAAATGGTGAGGGGTGTCTAGATGCTAAGGTGAGTGTGTGTGCCAAGTTTCAGTCAGTTTGTGCCAAGTTAGAAGGTACTTGCTGTTTAAACCCAAGTTTAGTCCAGAAACTGTATTGAGGATGGTGTGCCTATTTAGAAATGTTCTTGTATGGTTAGTAGCATTTCTAGTGTTCATTTGTGTTAAATAAATTATCAGAATTAACTGGGATTTTTTTGGAGTGACGGAAATGTTAGTTGCTTCATAACCCAAGTGCTTAAGATTACATATTCTTTTATAAAAGAGAATATATACTCAGAAAAAGTTTGGGAAATGGGCTTAGGTGAAAATGTTAGAGTGATGAAGGTTGGTGACAACAAGTGTAAACAGAATTAATTAAGTTTCCAATTTGCTAAGTCCAAAAAGCGCCGTTTCAAAGAAAATCCAACGCAAACTCCAAATGAAACCAACTTGATTTTAAAAAAAGGACTTTGATAACTACCAAACGTCCGGATTATAGCAATAGGCAAGAATGATCCTTATACCTCACTCTAATTATATACATGCATGTATTAGAATGGCTAATTTTTCTTCCACGTGCACTTCTCCCTCTAATTACATGCATATATGCACTAAAGGATGAAAAGCTGATGTCATGCTAGATTCTTTTTTACAAACTTTAAAATGTTTCGTAGCTCAAATCGTCGCTCTGACAGAAAATAAGGTTTCACATAAAAAAATCGTCACGATGAGATCTTCAAAACAAGATCCCATATTGATATGTTACGACGATATTTTTTTTAAGTCCAAAGTTACCATGCCTGGACTACGTAACCTATCACCACTGCAGTACGTAACTTATCATAGTGTTTGAACTGAAGTTATCACAAGGATGTTTCGACTACTTTATCCATGTGTCGAAGTTATCGTCGGGTCTATGGTTTATACATACCATATTTACACATAAGTATCGGATATATTTTTTCATCAATTTTGTCCCCTCCTCACCTTTGGTCAAAGTTTTTTTTAAACACGGTACAAACACAGATGCTTATACATACACACATATACCAATCCCTATAAATGCACACACGAACACCCTACCCCCTATGAGCATCCGAGAGACTAGGCCGGCACTTCATCTTGAGATTGACAAAAGTTACCATAGATGCCTTGTAGTTAATGTGTTGTTTTGTACTCCCTCCGTCCGGAAATACTTGTCATCAAAATGAATAAAAGGGGATGTATCTAAACGTATTTTAATTCTAGATACATCATTTTTCATCCAGTTTGATGACAAGTATTTTCGGACGGAGGGAGTACTTAACAGGTCTGCGGTGTCTGTATATTGTCATGTTATTTACACCCAAGTTATCAGGGGTATATTTTTCAATAATTTTTTCCCTCGGGTCAAAGTTACCATGGTAATTGTACCTAGGTTAGCAGGTCCATGGCACGGAAGTTACCATGCTACTTACATAGAAATTATCGGAGTATGCTTCAACAGTTTTCTCTTTGGGTCAAAGTTAAACACAATGTTTATACATAAGCTATCAGGTCCACAGTGCGTATATTACCATAATATACATAGAAATTACCGGTTATATGTTTTCAAAAAAAAATCCCGAGTCAAAAGTTACCGCAGTGTTTCTAGGTAAGTTATGAGGGATGTGCTCTTTAAAACGAAATTACCAGGTTATGTTTCATACTTTTCCCCTTTGGTCAAAGTTACCATGCTAAGGGTATGTAAGTTATCAGGTCAGTGTGCGAAAATTACCATGATAATTGCACATAAGTTATCGTTGTATGTTTCAACAAACTCCCCTCCCCCATCAAAGTTATCAGACCCGAGGTACATAAGTTATCAGGTTTGAGGTGTGTAAGTTACCATGCTATTCACATAGAAGTTATTGGGGTATATTTCATCAACGTTTTTCCTTATGAATAAAAGGTTATCACAATGTTGGCACGTAAGTTATCATGTATGCGATTCCTAAACTACCATGCTATTCACACGAAAAAACTGGGGGTATATTGTATCAAAAAATTTCAGGTAAAAAAATGTTACCGCGGTGTTGCCCTGTAAGTTATGGATCTTATATTTTAACAACAAAAAATCTGGGTCAAAAAATTATTGCGGTGTTTGTATGTAAATTACCAGATTTGTGGTGTGTAAATTATCATACTATTCAATGTATATTTCAAAACAATTTTTTCCTCGGGTTTATACACAAAACAATGACTGGAGTTCGAATTCTACACGAAGAGAAACATTTATTTCTCTAGAATTACTCATCGAGAGGTGCAAACACAATGCATCCATCCTTGAAATAACTTGGTCCTTGGGTCTGCCCCCTCGTCAAAAACATTGTTGTTTTTTCTCGCTATCAAACAGAGTATAAAACTCAGCTAACCTAAATAAAAAACACAAAAGCATGCTTAGCTTGGGTGGTAGCGCACCTGCTCCCAACCGGCGGGTTTGGGGTTCAACTCTAGGTGGGCGCTAATGTTTTTCTCCGTGAAATCCTCGCGCACGTCCGAAGCAGATCAGAGGAGGACTGCGTCGTTCGGATCTAAAGACAAAATCCAAACGTTCGGTAATTACATATGTCATAAAAAAAGGAAAAAAGGCCATAATCCAGGGTGTTACAGTAACTCAGGGGCAGACTAGCATAGAATCTCAAATTAGGTTAAGATCAATGAGATCAACCAAATGAAAAATGGGCATGAAGCAATTTACCTGTAGGAGCTCTGATTCAAAGGGAATGTTCCATGTTGTGATCGCAATGAGGCATCTGCTCAAAGATCTTATTTCTTTGACAGCAAGCCAACCAGCGGCCCAAAGTAACTGATAAGTTTGTTATTCAGCTTGACTCAAACACACTGTGTGTTACAGTGTGTTCATCTTCTAAAACCAATGGAGTGAATAGTATAAAACTACCACTTTTCGCGTTAGGGTTTCAAAAAACTACCAGATTTTTGTTTGTCGCTGATAATTACCAGAATTGGCGTCGGCTGTTTCAAGAAACCCAAATGACCGGGGTGTATTACAATTGATCACAATTATGAAAGGTCGGGCCCACGCGTAAGAGCTCTGATTGTTTGACCATTAACTGGCGTGGAAGAAAAGCAATCAGGTCCCTACCAAAAAAGCAATTGGGTCCCCGTATTTTTTAAAGAAAGCAATCGGGTCCATGCAGACGTCGTCGTGCAGCTCGCACACCTGCACATTGACCTCGTCGGACTCCCTCCGGCCCCTCCCCATGCCTGGCAGCAGAGGGCAACAGGAACAACAGAGGCGGGGCTCCACGGCAGAGGAGGAGGCGGCCGGGTGTACCATAAGGCGCGGTGTGGACCAGCAGTGTGGCCGGCGGCCACGGCTATGCGACGGTCCTCCGTAGAGAGGAGGATAAGAAGGGAGACAGAAAGGAGGGGGAGAAAAGAGGATGAGACACTAACATGTGGACCCCACATGTCAGTTAACGGCCCAACAAATAGTCAAACAAACAGTTCGTTTAGGTGCGGGCCGGACCTGTCATAATTGCAATCAATTATAAAAACATTTGGTCATTTGGGTTTTTTTGAAACAGCCGACGCCTATTTCGATAGTTATATATCAGCGATAAACAAAAATTTGTTAGTTTTTTGAAACCCTGACGCGAATAGTGGTAGTTTTATACTATTCACTCAAAACCAATGCACTACTAATATATTCCTAATGTATGCTTTACCGTTACATATATAATATACGTAAGAGCAAGACATATATAATTGCAAGACAAATACATGTAAACCTAGCTGCAATGTGCAACTCTCTGTACATACTACGAGACAACAGATAGCTCAGCTATCTTTTGTGAACGGACTCCATCAGGTTGAGCCTGCCAGAGCCGCCGTCCTCGCTCTGCACCGGAGTGATCCTCCGGGACTGCCGCTTGGTCGGCACGATCACCGCCTCCGCCCCGGGATCGTCGGCGACATAGAACTTGCCTGCCTCATTGCTCTTGAACACCGGGTGAAGGTACGCGTCCGCCAGGTACGCCTTGAGGTCGAAGTTGCGCTCCCTCGCGCGTTCTAGCGTATCCTTCCTCATCACCTCCTGCACAAACCTCAACATCTTCAGACTTCACTACGATAGTGAAGAACCTAGTAGCTTCCTTCCTTCCTAATGCTTGTGCAAGCATCAATTACCTGTAGCGGGTTTCTCACAAACGCGGGTTCGTACCGGTGCTTGCAGTACTTGTGGAACCAAATGGTTAACACGGGAAGAGCAAGAAGAGCCGGCGTCGCCTCCTCCAAACCTTTCGTGCTTAACAGCCCAAGGAGAAGCAGCTGCGACACGATCAAGGCTGTGATGATGCGTAGATGCACATTGGGCCAGAACTGCGCGCCGCTCTCGTATCGTTGATTGTAGACATTTATGATCTGAACAAGGGACGACCAATGAAACCAAACATTGTAAAACGGATGCAATGGTCTTCAACAAAATTGTCGACATCAACTTAGTTGTGCTACTAACTAACATGGTTGCATCGGTAGTTTTCGACCGTCAATTTTTTTAGTGAGAACAAACAAAAAATCTCTCAAGTATTAGCGAAGAGCTCTTTACCTGGTGGCGGTAGACGACGTAAGCCAGCGCAAAGAATACCAATATGAATGGAAGCAAGAGTGGTGTCACCACAGCATACACAAGACCAAGCAAGAAATATAGCTGTATTCGAGGCTCGGACCAGTACAAACAGATACTACCAGGATCCATTGCCTCTTCTCTGTCCTTCTCTGTCTTGACCAGGAAAAAGTTTTTCAAGTGGAACATTATAAATGCCTTCAATCTCAGAACTTCAAGAGCTACACCAGTCCAACCATCAACCATTACATATGTAATGAAAAATGTTGCCTTGATTGGTATGGCCACACCGATGATCCTTGGAATGCTGCAAAAGAGGCAATTTAGACTCACTAGAGATAGGTTTTACCATTGGGGCTTTAGTACCACAACTGACCTAATTTCTTTGCAAATTTCAAGCGACTCTTAAGTGTTGGTCTAATTTAGAGAAACTAGCAGTGTCATTTTAATTAAATCTCTAATATCATTCAATAAAACAAGAGTTAAGTTCCCCGCAAAAAAAAACAAGAGTTAAGTTTTACAGCTGAGCATTTACTACCACAACTGATTTAATTTTTTTGCAAATTCCAATATTGGTCTAATTAAGAGAAACTAGCAGTGTCGTTGTAATTAATTCTCTAATATCTATGCTAGCATTATTGGTGTTTGTTTCGAAACCACGAGCTCTCCATGAGTCAAAGAAGATAGGACAGGGTTAATAAACTATAACCAAATGCAAAACCTTAATTTTTGTTTTCACCAAATGGGTGAGCACCATTGCGTCGTGGTAACCAATGCCATTAAAGCCAAGAAGACAGCCATTTCACTCTCAAAATGGTATCATGATGCACAACTCCCCTCATACAAAAATGATGCACAGCCCACAAAATTATCACAGAACACTGCTACTCCTCCCATAATGAAGGTGAGGCAAGAAGTCCATCACCAAAAAATGCAACGTCGAGCTTAGGAAAAATAAGATAAAATGCAATAGACCAACCACATATATGCATAATTACTAAATGTGTTTACACGGGATATACTCATTAGCTGACTGATGAAGGTAGGTATTAAGCTGCTCCAAAGCAGATCCTGTAACGATGCTCCCCAGGAATACATTGAAGAACAAGAATATAAAATACTTGGATGCAGTTCTTCGCTCTAGTGATGAATGTGATACCAATCCTTCAAACTGAGACATGAACATCAGTATAGTTGGAAGCAATATGAGGAAGATCTTCAAAGCAAGTCCAGGAAGAAACCCTTGGATGAATGATTTAATGGTGGGTCTGAAAAATAGCTGACAAGCAGAAATCAGGAGAGGACATCGATATGACATCTTAAAAATATAAATTTGTACACTAATTCTGCAGCGATGACGGAAAGGCTACGAAACCCATGAAAATGCGGAATAAGAACATTCTGAAAGTTGACTTACGTTTCAATGAAAGGTTCTAGAAATGGTAGTGCCTTCTCTATGCCTTCAACATTTGCAAGAGTCTGTACGAATGCTATTGGAATGACATAAAAGAAGTTGAGGAAGAAGAAGGCCACGCCAATTATCAACCTCCTAACTGTGAGGGAAACAAATGGAATGGATAGATTATTCCAGTACACATCACGGGGTTCTGGAGCCCATTCAGTCAGCCAGACAGTTGGGTTGCTGGTTTGTTGTGTCTGAGCGGCAACAGCTGCACCCCACCGTGAACGAAATGAAACAAAGGCCGCTGGCATAATTGACTTGGGATCCTTCATGACTTTTTTATGCTCGTCAGCTTCCTGTGAATTATCACTTATTAGAGACGAATAGTATTCCGACAGTTGGATGCAAACAAAATTTGATGCACGACAGATAATCTAACACTTAAAAGGACCAAAGGATACAAAGGTTTTACGGGTGCATATTTTGTAACTTACTTCCTTTCCTATCTTCTCAATCTCTGATTTGTAGTAATCAATAGCATCCACATCAGAACCAGAACATCCAAAAAACCCAGTCTGTAACATAAGTCCACATGAAAGCAAAGGAATTCAACAAAATAGATCCGAATACAGAGTTCCAATATAAATGGTTATAAAACGATAAGCTCAATATAAAAAGCAATGGATGGCTAACTATGTTTGCAGACCAACCTTAGTTGTTGGCCTTTCTGCTTTTCGCTCAAACTTGAGTTGGTAGTAATCAAGCCAATTCTGCATTTGCTTCTTCTTTTCAACCAGGCCAGCAAGTTTATTTGTATTGTAAACTACCTATAGAACAACAAGACATAAAATGATTATTCCCCTAGGTAAATCATCTAAAGAGGGATTCAGCAAGAAACTAAGAATTTCAAATATAAGGCTTAAATAAAATGATTATTTATGGAAAATGAATAATTGTGGGAGTCAGGCTAAACAATAAATTGCGAACTCAAATATCTGATTCTTTGAATGGGAGATGTACCAAAAATTTAGTGATAACCTGATGTTTAAGATAATGACCAGGATGATTGACAAGGAAGAAATGTTCCACGAGCTCACTAACTGATTCGTCAGGATCTGATGGTATATTCCGTACAAGAACCTAACATAAAAATACATTGATGACTTAGAATCAAAAGAATAATCAAAGGGTCATTAATCTAACAAGATCATTCTACTGTGATCTTTGCTGTATGCAGCATTATTTAAAAAAACAGAAAAAAGGGATCTAAACAGTGATCACAAAGGTGCTTTCTACCAAGAATGCAGAAAGATCCTATGCAGAATTTGCATCAATAAGAAGTTTTAATATTCATCAATCTACGCATAACAAAATTTTCAAGTGTGTTGTCATTATATCCCCACGATTTTGCCAATCTGCCAGCGCCTTTTGACTTATCCAACCTTACATACAAGACACTAAACATCCCAATCTACTAAATAGGAACAGAATAGCCAATGAGTACGATCATACAGTGAACTGATCTGGTCGACGTTTCTCCGAAGCAAGAAAGCGCAATCTCATCTTTGCAACTATTTGATATTCCTTCATAAGTATATAGCAGGTCCAAAAAGTAAATACATAGGCCATAACCAAGTGGGCTATAAACCTGCACAAAAAAGGGTGTGTGTTAGCATAATCATGAACATACAAGAATGTAGGAACCTTAAACAAATATGGGTGGAACAAAATGCTTTGAAGCAGATCAACTGCTTGAGCTTGAATTTGATGTGCAACTACTAAATGCTAAACCTATATTCTTGCGTTCTTGCACCTTAGTAAAATGACACAAAAGAATGGTGTGTTGCTCTGTTACCCAAATAAACAATACAACCCTACACCTATAAGAAGTTGATGTACCTACTAACGCAAGCAGTATGCAGATTAGTAAAATCTGGAACTTCAGGAAAGTTGTCGTCCAGATGTTCAGATAGATTTAGCTACAACATGTCAACAAAGCTAAGAATGCCTTCATATGGATATTTTACTTGTGGCAAGCCAGCACCGCTATCGAATATCTACAAACTTATATGTATCAAATCAGCAATGCATTTCGATAATCAACGAAAAAACACATTTGATAAACAAAGAAACTATTCAGATATATATGTCCTGTTGCTCACCTCTTAGATCCATAAGGTATGTTGGATATAGAAAGTTTGTCAATGTCACTGTGGACCACCTTCAAAGTTTCTAGTGTATCATTGGTCCAGTTCAGAGGGACCAGAACGGCAAAAGCAAGAATTGTAATTGGAACAAATATCTTGAGCCTGCGAATGATTGGTTAGAAGTTCATCAGCATAGAGGGTATTGGAAGATTGGGCTCCTTGACAAGAAGGACGCTATGCAAAAATTGATATATAAATGAAAAATGTATACATAAGCCCACTGATGTTCCACATACAGTGCTCAACTGTTGTAACTGAAAATAATAATAAGGAATACAGAAGAGAAAGCTGCTGCAGTGTAGGTACGTACCCTGTGCGGTATATCCGTAGGTAGACGACGGAGTCGAGGCCCGCGTGCTGGATCAACTCATCGTCGGGCATCTTGAGAGCAGCCGGCATCCAACTCAGGAAGTTCAGGTAGGACCTCATGTCGAGGTTGATATACTTGGCCGCAGCCACGGTGGCGCCCGCGGAAGCCGGGCTGGCCCGCGTGCCTTTGAGGTACCACTTCGGGAAGTAGACTCTGTCGTTGACGGGCTGCAGCCGCAGCAACGCGAACAGCAGCAGGAAGGCGACGGCGGTGACTACGTTGAGAGCCGCCCCGACGGCGATGTCGTAGATGGTAGCCATGGCTGCCCCTCAGCGGCTCAAGTAAGAATCACTGAGACCAGCCACACGATGCAAGGACGTCATGGAAGAAAACACCCTTGAAATGCGATGAACTCGAACGCCCGTCGCGCAGAGTCCGAACGTCCGAGCCGACGAACTGCTCGGCGGCGAGCACAAGCAGCGAGCACAAGGGGGAAGAAACTTTGCTTTCAGATTACCTGGAACTGGTGGGCAGGGAGACGCGAGCGAGCATTCCAGATGGAGCTCCAGTCGACCCCTCTCTTCTCTTCTCCCCCGAAGCTTGGCAACGGTGCTGTCTCTGCTCCGGTGGTGGACTGGTGGTAGCTTGTGTACTTCTGTGTGCGTCTGCTGCTTTATTATGCTCTTTCGCCTACGCTAGAATATTACTATTATTATATTCCACCCCTCTGTCAATAATTCGAATGCGCAACGGTCACCTTCGTCCGGCCGCACTAGCACGTGGAGCAGGGGGGCCACCATGTCATTGTCGCGACGTAGTTATCTAGCCATAGTTTCTTTTTTTTGCTGTCCATATTTTCAAACGAAAATGGAGAGAACATCATGAGGACATTAGAGCATCTCCAATAGCTTGTCTATATGGATGTCTATACTCGTTTTCCACGATGTGACCTCAAAACAGACGTCCAACAGCTTGTCTTTATGGTCGTCCAAATATACGCATCCTCTATATCGACCTCGACAATGTCCACGCTTGGACAATGTGAAGGCATTGTCTAAACTCAGCTGTAGTCATGATTTCTTCCTCTTCCCAGCGACGGCCCACCTGCTCATGGTCTCTCTATATAAACATTCTGATGCAAAACTGGACGTGTAAATTAGAGAATTTTTTTAGACCATTGTCTATATAAATATATAGACATCCAAATATACACATGCTATTGAAGATGCTCTTAGTCGGAGCTTTAATATTTATGCTTGAAAATGTTATCCGTATGCGCATCAGTCGGCATTTGCCATCCTTAGACAAGTGAGACCAATGTAAGCCATACATGTATCACATATTTGATTACTAGTATAAAAAAAGACACGCAAACAAGTAAAGCACAATTCAGGCCAAAGATGCTAAATATGGACTCCATATCATTACGAACAGGAGGAACATAGACACGCATAGTCGTCCTTCTCCCCTTCCCCTTTTCCTTCACTTTGTTTGGACGGCGATAGCAGGAGATCTTCCAGCCCATGGTGATTCGAGGCCGACAGTAACTTTTCTTGGTTGGCCTATGTCTTAGAGCATCTCCACTCGTTCGAAGCCCCCAGAAATAGTGCCTCCCAAAGGCGAGCCGGCGTTATTTTCGTCGTGGGGGCGATCGAGTTCCCACTCGCCGCCCCAAGTTGGCCCCCAAACGTTTTTTAATTAGTTCGGGTGAATTTGGACGAAATTTGGATGAAATTGGACGAAATTCATTCATATTCATATTTATACATAATTTGAAAGACATAACCTAAAAAAACCTAAAACTACGCCGCCGCCGCCGTCCCGAGCCTTCTACATGCCAAGGAGATTGTAGAAGGCGGTGTAGTCGCCGCCGTCGGCGTTGTCGTCGTCCTACACGCCGCCGTCGCCGCCGTCCCGAGCCTTCTACATGCCGAGGAGATTGTAGAAGACGGTGTAGTCGCCGCCGTCGCCGTTGTTGTCGTCCTGCACGCTGCTGCCGTCCTTGCTACAGCCCTACCCTCGGTCGCCTTGGCAGACGGGCTTGGTGGGCGGCGGTGCCTGGTCGTCGCTGTCCTCGAGGGCGATGACGCCGCCCTTGTCGCGGCCGCGGTGCCGAACGTCAATCTCGTCAAGGGCGCATCACTAGCGCTCCATCTCCGCACGGACGTAGTCGTCCCGCACCCATTTGAGGGCGGTCTCGTCAGCGGCGGCCATGTTGATGTGCTCCTGTTTCACGACGACGGGCGGCGTCCCCGGCTCCCTCTTCGGCCTGACCAGGCGAAGATGGCCGCGGGGAGGGGGTAAGACTGGCGGTGGCCCTCGTTTATGACGAGGCCGCCGCCACAGTTGTGCCGACGCTCCGGCATCTCCATCGGCTCGGACTTGATGGGCTCGAGCTTGACGGTGGCCAGTGGCGCCGCGCCGGAGGAGCAGGAGGAGGAGGAGGAGCCGCACGCCATGCGCCTCGGCAACCAAGAGCTGCCGCTCCGGCGAGAGACTGGGTCGCCGGGGCAGCCGGGTACTCGAGCGGTGGCTCGTTGCCGCCCTCGAGGTGCTCGAACTCAGCGTGAAGAGTACGCCCGGGAATGCTCCACCACAGGCGGCGGCCATCAGCGTTGTGGCTTCCCCGTACCGGTGCCTTGTTGGTGGATGCGAGATGCTCCTCGTGGGGCCGCCGGAAGTACTCGGTCTAGAACATGTGGTTATCTAGCCATAGTTTTTTTTTTGCTGTCCATATTTTTGAAAGAAAATGGAGAGATCATCACTATATGAGGACATATATTAGTCGGAGCTTTGATATTTATGCTTGAAAATCATACATGCGCATCAATCGGCAATTGCAGATCTTAGACAAGTGGAACCAATGTAAAGCATACATGTATCACATATTTGTTTACTATAAAAAGAAAACTGAGCTTCGTGTAAAAGACATACAAACAAGTAAAGTATAATTCAGGACAAAGATTTTAAATATGGACTCCATCTCATTACGAACAGGAGGAGCATAGACACGCATAGTTGTCCTTCTCCCCTTCCCCTTTCCCCTTACTTTGTTTAGACGGCGATAGCAGGAGATCTTCACGCCCATGTTCGGTGATTCGAGGCAGGCAGTAGCTTCCCTTAGTTGGCCTATCTCTTAGAGCATCTCCACTCATTCGGCGTCCCAAGGGACTTGAAATAGTGCCTCCTTGGGGTGAGCCGTCGTTATTTCCACGGTGGGGCAGTCGGGTTCCCATTCGCCGCCTCATGTTGGGCCCCAGACGCTTTTTTCTTGAAAATTAGTTCGGCTGAATTTGGACGAAATTTGGGTGAAATTGGAAGAAATTCATTCATATTCATATTCGTACATAATTTGAAAGACATAACCTAAAAAACATAAAAGTACGCCGCCGCCACCATCCCATGCCTTCTACATGCCGAGGAAATTGTAGAGGGCGGTGTAGTCGTCGTCGTCGCCGCCGTCGTCCTTGTCCTGCACGCCGCCGCCGCTGTCGTCGTCCTGCATGCCGCCGCCATCCTTGTTGCAGCCCTGCCCTGTGTCGCCTTGGCGGACGGGCTTGGTGGGCGGCGGTGCCTCATCGTGGTCGTCCTCGAGGACGATGATGCCGCCCTCATCGCGGCCGTGGCGCTGAGCGGTGATCGCCTCGAGGGCGCGGCGCTGGCGCTCCATCTCCCCGCGGGTGTAGTCGTCCCGCGCCCATTTGATGGCGGTCTTGGCAGCGGCGGCCATGTCGACGTGCTCCGGTTTCATGACATCGGGCGGCGTCCCCGGCTCCCTCTTCGGCCTGACCAGGAAAGATGACCGCGGTGAGGAGAGGAAGGATGGCGGCGGCCCTCGTTTATGACGAGGCCGCCGCCATGGTTGCGCTGATGCTCCGACATCTCCATGGGCTCGAGCTTGACGGTGGCGAGCGGTGCCGCACCGAAGGAGCGGGAGGAGGAGGAGGAGCCGCCCGCCATGCGCCTCGGCAGCCAAGAGCTGCCGCTCTGGCGGGAGATTGGGGTCGTCAAGGGCGCTGGGTACTCGAGCGGTGTCCCGTTGCCGCCTTCGAGGTGCTCGAGGACGGCATGGAGAGTAAGGCCCACCGCAGGCGGCAGTCGTCGGCGTTGTGGCGTCCCCGTACTGACACATTATTGGTGGAGGCGAGTTGCTCCTCGTGGCGTTGCCGGAAGTACTTCGTCTAGAACGCGTGGTTGACGGCGGCGTACCCCCGAAGGCCCCACACCTCCTCCGGCAGGGAGGCCCAAACGCGTGTGATCGCAGTGTGGTGGCGGTCAGCGTCGGTCGGCAGCGGGGGGACGGGGACGCCTCCGGCGCTGAGCCTCCACGAGCCCGGTACGCGCATGTCCGGCGGTTCCAGGTAGTTCGCCTCATGGAGGAGGTATGCCTCCCACTCGTGGAGGTGGCGGCGGCCAAAGCCGTTGGCTGCAGCTCCATCGCCGGGGTATCGCTCGCCCATCGTGGCTACAGGCATCGATGAAGGAGAGAGAGGGGTGTCGACGGCGAGGGAGCCAGAGAATTCGGCGAGGGATTGTGCGGCCTACGGCGAGGGGGGAGCGGTTTTTATAGCAGCGGGTGGGTGGCGACCCGGCGGCAAACATGTAGACACGTGGCGGGACGGGGCGTGCGGCGGCGCGCCTTCACTGCGTCACCGAGGAATCAATGGAAGGCTGACCGGCGGCAGTCTTGGCATTGATTCACAGCGGAAACCGAGGTGATGAGGACGACGAGCGCGCCTAGTCGCCTGTTAGGAAACGCAATATTTCAAAAACAAAATCCTACGATCACGCAAGATTTATCTAGAAGATGCATAACAACGAGAGGGGGAGAGTATGTCTATGTACCCTCATAGACCAAAAGCGGAAGCGTTATGAAACACGGTTGATGTAGTCGAGCATCTTCACGATCCAACCGATCAAGTACCGAACACACGACACCTCCGCGATCTGCACACGTTCAGCTCGGTGATGTCCCTCGTACTCTTGATCCAGTTGAGGCCGAGGGAGAGTTTCGTCAGCACGACGGCGTGATGACGGTGAAGATGAAGTTACCGACATAGGGCTTTTCCTAAGCACTACAACGATATGACCGAGATGGAATTCTGTGGAGGGGGGCACCGCACACGGCTAAACAATCAACTTGTGTGTCTATGGTTGGCCCCTTCCCCCGTATATAAAAGGGGGGGAGGAGAGGGCCGACCCTCATAGGGCGCGCCCAAGGGGGGAGTCCTACTCCCAGTAGGAGTAGGTTTCCCCCCTTCCTAGTTGGAGTAGGAGAAGAAGGAAGAGGGAGAGGGAGAGAAGGAAAGGGGGGCCGGCC